CCCTGGCCCCGCCCTCCCGGGGCCTCATTGGACAGCGCCCGCCGCCGCCGCCGGCACCCATAGGGGAAGGCCGCCTCGAACGCGCCCCCAACACCTCGCGCGGCTCATTGGCTGCCCTCACTTCCGCCTCTGCGCCCTGCCCTGGGGGCGGAGCCTGGGGGGCGGGGTCCTGGAGGGCCGCTGGAGACGGACCCCTGCACAGCGCGGGTGACCTTGGCTCCGCCAGGTAACTTCCTCTTCATGCCCGCACCCAGCCGGCCGGTCGCTCTCCGCCCTCCCCGCCCCCCGCCGAGAACGCGGTGGAGGAAGAGCCCGCCCAGCACCGGAAGGCTATCCCCGCTCCCCTGGGTGATGCACAGGCTGCGCACCAGTCCCTCCTGGTCCACGGACTGGGCACCTGCCGTGCTCCGTCCCCTGCGGGACTTGGGGGAGATGCCAATGCTGGAGCCCCACCAGTGCTGAAGAATCGGTTTCTCAGGAACCCCTGGCTTTGCCGGCCCCCAGAACTGACTGTGTTGCTCAGACAAGTGGGAGAAGCTCTAGCCCACCCTTGGCCATCAGGGAGTACAGAAGCTGTGAGGAGGCAGGAAGGAAAGGGGACACCCACACGCAGGCCCACAGCTCTCTAGCGCAGGAAGAGCCACAAAAGCCAGGCTGTGTATTCCACCGTCACCTCCCCAAGCTACTGTCACCTCCCAAGGCTGGCAGGACGCAGCTTCCCTGCCCACATGCCATGAGAAAGCCCAGTGCCCACCACAGTCTTAGGTCCGCGCTGGAGTCAAGGGGAGGAAGGGAGACTGGGGAGCACTGACACACAGATTCCTGCCTGCCTTCCATGACCTGCCCTGCAGGCAGCAGTTGTTCAGTAATAACACTACTGCCTCCCATACCACTCGTCTTTCAGGGAAGGTGCTCCAAGGGCACACAGAGCCGGTTTCAACCTGAGACACCCTTCTCAGCTTCTGGATGCCATGGCGGAAATCACCTTTCCAGAGGAAGCTAAACCTTCTTATACTCATTACTTCTACAGCAACAGGACTCCCTAATTCTGAACTACCAGAATAAAACGGGGGGGAAAACAAAACATGCAACCTAAAAATAACATTAAAGGGAACCCACTCCAAATGTTCAGCTTGTATGTGGCTTTGGCACAAGCTATGCCACGCCCGGGTAGGAGACATTTTTGTAGCTGTGGGACAAACGAGACTAGTCTCCAGCTCAAGCATCTCAGTGGCCACACAGCATACACACATCCTCAGCAAAAGGTCACAAAGCTGCTGTGCTTATACAAGGGTCCACAAACCTGTTCTGTAAAGGGCCAGACAGTAAATATTTTAACCCACTGGTGCTCACCAGGGAGTTTTTTTTCTCCCAGGAGACTTGGCAATGTCTGGACACACTTTTGGTTGTCACAGATGAGAGACGTTACTGGAGAGTAAAGGCCAGGGATGCTGCTGCATAGCCTACAATGCTCAGGAGAGCCCTCCTTGAACAAAGAATGATCTTACCCAAAAGACCAGCAGGGCCGAGACTGAGACCCTGTACACTGCAGGCCACATTTGCTTTCTGTCAAAGATTTCTCTCTGTTTTCGCAACCCTTTAAAGCCAATGGGTACAAAAAGAGGCCTCAGGCTATATCTTGTTGACCCCTGCTCTACAAACAGTAAGCAGGTCCACAAAGACCACACACTGGCAGGACACCAAGGCTCTGATGTCACATAAACTACTCAGTAGGAATCTCAACATGGGCCTACCCCATGTCTTCACGCCGGCTCCCAAGGCAGGAAGTAGGAATTCTCCGAGGAAGACCTTCCCCACCCACCCATGAAGTTCTAGATTCCAGCCATCCTACAACCTCAGTTCTGTAACCAGCTACACCACACAGTAGGGAGCATCTCAGCACTCACTTGACTTCACTCCCAATGGGACAGGCAACCACAGCATTTCAGCAAAACATTCTATTTTATTTTTATCTCAGCAAATGTTCTCACTTGGCACCTGACTGGTACCAAACCAAAGACCTCAGGCCAACAAACATGGGCTGAGACCATTTGCAAACTTCCCACTTGCAGGTCCCAACACCTATGTGCATCAGAGCACCTCTTCCTCTCTCTGGTCCTTTAGTGAGGCCTAAATCAGTCTCAGGTGTGCTAACAGTGCTGGCCACAAGGTGGTGGACAAGTCCTGACAATGCAGTCAGCTGGGATATGAAGCCAAGCAGAACCTTTAAAGCAAAGTTCTTTTCTCAGGTGACAGATCTCCAGACAGGGTCCTGATCCTGCTTATTCAACACATTCCTGGCTGCCTTGGCTGGAATGAAGAAAGGGCCATCCTTTCTCCATTGGCACAGGGGAGGAGACACAAGCTGGTTTACACTTTTTAGAGCTCAAACATCTAAGGAAGTCTTGTCTGGGTGAATGGGACAGTGAGCTTTTAGGTCGGTGATGCTGGCCGGCTTTGCAGCCTTTGCACAAGGGGTACTTCCCCAGGATCCATGAAAATACTCAGAGCCCATGAGGTTATTTTACTTATATGCAGTGTCCAACTGCCAGAGGAGTTCTGGACTGTCTAGCTTGGAGCCCTTCTCAAGGTCTCAATTCAGATGAGCTATTCAAAGCATGAAATAACAGGAAATACATTTTAAGGATCAAAGCTGCTCTTTTCATCCTCGCTGAGGGAACAGTTTCAGACATGACCGGTATAGAGAAAACTGAGCATTCCGCAGGGTACAAGCTGGAGTTGCTTTCAGACCCAGGCTTCTCCTCTGGTGCGGTGGAGCACTGGGTCCTCAGACTTCCGGGCGGAGGGGAAGGCGGGAGGTCCTCGGCTTTGGGTCTAGCATTCCAGCTATGGGGAGCTCCCTTTCCGGCCCCACGGCGAGGCTAGTTGACCCGGCAGGCGCGGATCATAAGCAGCTGCAGGAGAATGAAGACTGGAGAGGTGATCAGGCCGAACCAGAGCTCCCGAGTCTGCTCCACCAGCTTCTGGCACAACAACATCTCGAAAACGAACTTGAGGCTGAGAACCGTGAGGATCCAGAAGAGGCGGAGTACGGCCAGCCGCTTCTCGCCGTCCTGGAAGAGACGCACCGACACGATGGTGGTGAAGTAGGTGCTGAGCCCGTCAGCGGCGAAGAAGGGCACGAACACGTTCCACCAGGAGAGGCCGGGGGCCAGGCCGTCCACACGCAGGGCCAGCAGCACGGAGAACACCAGCAGGGCCAGCAGGTGCACGAAGATCTCGAAAGTGGCGAAGCCCAGCCACTGCACCAGCTCCCG